GGGGGGGGGGAAATATATTCAATTTCAGGTTCACAGCTAAGACGCGTTGCAGAAAAACCAATACGTATCCGCGTGCCGGCCATGATGGATTGCCGGAGCTATGGGAAACTATCTGTCAAGCACAATATCGACCCTCGCTCTCTTCGTCCAACCCCTAGAAACCGAAGGTTCACTCTCGCTGCCGGCGTCCGTCCCAGAGTTGTACTCTCTCTTTCCCCGCGATGTGGCCTCACCTATACATTTCTATACAAATCTTTACTCGGCCCCCCTTTTTCCTCTCTCTTTCTCTTTTCCTCCCCTCCTTTCTGGTCGAGAATCCGTGACCATTTCGCAAATGGCACGTCTCTCCTCCACTCTATGGAGCCTGCTGCGTTTGCATAAGAAAAGAGCGCGAGATGTATAGTTAAAGGCCGACGGGCTGTCGCGCACGAGGAATCCTCACGATAAAGGAAAACCGCGATCCCATTAAAATGCTTTATCGATCGCCATCGATGCCTGGCGATCGACCGATAACGACGACACGACTCGCGATTCACCGGCCTCGTTTGTCGAATCGCTTTCGTGCGGTTGCTGGTAGTCCACTGACGAGAATCTTCGCTGGCGGTCTGAATTAATTCTAGGCAAATTTCCGTTTACTAGTTTCTGCTTGTATTAGACAAATTGCCCTCTGTTTTTAATTTATTGTGCAAAGCATTACGAATGAAACTTGTCATCGTGTAAGAAACAATTCGTTTTAGTATAAAATAGAATATGTTGTGTAACTTCTATAATTAATAAATTAAGAAATGAACATGTAACAAATAACTATATAACAGACTGGTGTAGTTGTACGATTTATACAAAGCTAATGTGTCGTTTAAATATAAAGCTAACTATTTAAACTTGCTAAATCTAAATTATTTAATTAACTAATAGGAACGTTAAACGTTGCTCGCATGTACTGTTAGTCTGCGATTATTGCAAAAACAGAATTTAGAAAAAAAGACTATAGATTTAGATAACAAACACTGAGATTTCGATGCGGCTATTAAATAAAGCAAGAAAACATGGACTGGTGATTGCATTTTACGGGATTTATAAAACTCCATTTATTCAAAGGCGCACTTCACTTTCTTCGGGCAACGATGACAATTAAATACTTGCGAAATTCGCAACCACACAAAGTTCCACGATTTTATTAATTAGGGATTTATTAATTAGAAATTACTTAGAAAACTGAAGCGCAAGATACACGTTTGTATACGCACAAAGAACGTTTTCGGCCATCTTGTTTCGTGTGAACAGCGCAGCTGCCGAGCGTATCCCCACTCTCCTTCATCCCTTAACTTTACGACTCCCCACGTTATTCTGTGCCTTCACTGGTAACCGAATATCGGTAAATTATTTTGAAATTATTTTTCATATTCTAAAGCGAGACCGTTTTCCTACCGATAATTTTAATCGTTGAAATCAGAATTACGTTCGAAGAAGAGCGAAACCATCGGTCAAGTGGACTTTTTGCAAGTGTCTCGGTTTCTGAAACCACGTCAAAGGGTTATAACCAAAGTGAAAACGCCGAGTCAGTGTCATTAATCAGTCAAAATATAAAATTCGCGTCAAAATATTTTCGAAAGGACGATCGCGCTTCTCTTCGAAATGGAGATACTGTGTGTTGTAACCTGAACCGATCAACGACGACCGCGTACAGAGCGAAATGCGCCGTGAACGACCTCGCTTTCGGGATACCTGAGCCGCAGGATACTCTGCTGTTTAGCTCATTTGGCCATAAATCATAGTGGTTGCAGGGTCAGCTGGCCTGATCTTGTTCCGAAAACCACGTTCTTTGCTCACGATCTGTGTCAAAGTTCTAAACTTACGTTTATTAAACAGTTTTGCAAATTCAACAATAGACTAGATTTTCAAGCACTCGACGATTTCTCAACATTTCGTACGAAATTACTTCGGGTCCGAGCCAAGTTCTCGAGAAGATTATGTCGAACAGTTTGAATCTACATTTGTTTATTGTCGTTGCATGCACGCGAGTAACAAATTACACGAATCTTCGCGAGTATCACATTGTTCTATTAACTCCCTGCATTACGACACATCAAATATCGTTAGCGAAATAACACTATACGTCAATTACTGTTAAGATAATTATACTTACGATTTCCCAATTCTCCTATCAATCGACTAGCGACTATATACACCGCTATAAGTGTTCATGATTTCAAGGGACGATCTTAGTTTCCCTAATCCTCTTCCTAAAAATAATCATTGTTGTCGTACCGCCTATGATGATGATAATGTTGTTGTTCTTGTTGTTGTAGTCGTTGTTGTTGTTGTTGTTGTTGTTGTTGTTGTTGTAGTAGTAGTAGTTGTTGCTGATGACGATATTCGAAATATGCCTCGTGGAGCATGTCTTGCCTGGCAGCAAGATGAGCGGGCATCGCAACTTGTTCTGGCTGCATCATTGGTGCGGTGCTTGGTCCTGGGTACGCTGCGACCGGCAGCGTATCGATGAGCGAAGCATTGTGACTCGGCGAACTGCTGCCTTCTGAATTTCCTTCTGATGCGGAGTAAGCGGGTGGGCCGACCCTGTTCGCCTCTTGTAATGCGGGTTGAGCAAGTTTACCATCCTTTTTCGCCTTCATTCGCCGATTTTGGAACCAGATCTTGATCTGGCGTTCAGTTAAAGAGAGAGCCTTAGATATCTCGATGCGACGTCTTCGAGTGAGGTAGCGGTTATAGTGGAATTCTTTTTCCAGTTCCAGCGTTTGAAATCGAGTGTATGTTTGTCGGGTTCGCTTCTGCCCAACGTTGTTTCCATCGCCTGTAACGTAACCTTGATATTCAGTATCATGTCAAATTTCCATAATTTAATGAGAGGAAAAGCTAATTATTTTCATAGAGTTCGACAGGCTCAAATTCGGTTCTATAATACTATAAAAAATTGTTTTTTATAATATTTCAATATTATAATATATTAAAATAATATTGTTGAAAACGACAACGTGAATTTGTGCTCACCATCCTAATGCAGATACGTTAGTTATAAGAAATAGTAACTAGATGATAATCCTAGTTACAATCGATAGGTTTAATCGATAGGCTTAAGATGCTTTTCTATTTTTATCCCTAGTTTTTGTAAACTCGTGCAATAAAGGTTTTTTTGGCTCACAACGGTGTGATAGATTTATCCACTCAATAAAATAATAACTATTGTATTCCTACCTCTGAGTATAGAAATAACAACAAATATAATATATTTAAATATCATAAAAAATTGTTTTCTATAATATTTCGATATTATAACATGATATTAATATAATATTGTTGAAAATGACAACGTGAATTCGTGCTCGCCATCCTTATGCACATCCGCTAGTTATAAGAAATAGTAACTAGATGATAATCCCAGTTACAATCGATAGATTTAATCGATAGGCTTAAGATGCTTTCTTATTTTTATCTCTAGTTTTTGTAAACTCGTGCAATAAAGGTTTTTTCTGGCTCACAACTGTGTGATAGATTTTTCTGTTCAATAAAATAATAACTATTGTGATCCTATCTCTGAAAATAGAAATAACAACAAATATAATATAATTTAATATAATATAATATATATCGGAATGACGTCAAGAATAGGGTTAGGGACGTTTAACGAACTTTCGCTGGGATTAGTCATGGTTGTTATACAATAGTGGTAATGTTGACTATCACAGTCGTAGGTATTACAACGTTATCGAGTAATCGCGGTGATTAGACGGTGGTCTCAGTTTCCATAACGAATCCATTGCCAACAGGACGACGAATGCAATGTGATACACGATTCTGACGTCGCTCAAAGTGCAAGTAGTACTGCTTTGCATAATATCTCTCTATGTCCTCTCCCCACCTCCCCGATCAGTCTTTGTTTTTAAAGAGAGCTATATGATTATTCCATACGTCTGTTAGATCCGCGTCTCTCCCGCGACCGTGGCTACGTTCAGTCAACCGTTACGTTGCTTCAAATCCAAGCCCACCGTCATTAACCTTGAGCACAACTATTTCTTAGTTTTATTACTTTAAGTGTATTTACAGTAAATGTCTGGATTAGGGTATTAGGCTTTTCCCGAATATTCAAAAAGGGAGGCCTCGATGTCTTTTCATCTTCAACATATACTGTAATATAATATAATATATTCAAATATTATAAAATATTATAAAAAAATTTTTTTTATAATATTTTATATAATATTTTATAATATTTCAGTAGACTCGTGACTACCTTTGTAACTTTATATTATAAAAAATTGTTTTTATAATATTTCAGTAGACTCGTGACTACCTTTGTAATTTTATATTATAAAAAATTGTTTTTTATAATATTTCAGTAGACTCGACTACCTTTGTAATTTTATATTACAAAAAATTGTTTTTTATAGTATTTCAGTAAACGCGTGCCTATAAACTTGTGTAAACTATGTTTGTGTGACTATGTGTATGTTGTGTGACTATAAACTTCAGTAAACTTGTCTAATACTTAAATATTTTTACTATAAAAATTCCATGAAATTCGACAAATTTCTATCTACGAAGGCTACCGTCTACGGTATTTGGATATTTTTCATGCAAAAAATAATATAAAAATTCTACAGAAATTGTCCTACATACTGTTAAAATAAGATCTCATCCATGGATATTCCACCTGCTGGTGCGCCTGCTCGTCCGCGAACTCGTTAATTTCGGCAGGGTTTCGCCTCTCAGTAACTTGACCATTTACGTAAGCAGCGTATCTATGCTGCGCGGCATAGTTCGTGCGCGAGTTTGATGCCATCATCATAGATGGGGTTACGACACTGTTAGAATATTGTTGTACATGATAACCTTGGTGGTTCGGCAAGTATCCATTTTGAATTTCTTGCTGTCGAACTTGTGCTTGGGCATCCGGTAGAAAAGCGACAATAGGAGACATTCTGCCAGTCGAGGACGATGGTGTGTACGGAGCAGACTGACAGGGAATATTAGACATATTCTGCCCGCCTAGTGGTGCTCCCCGGTTTCTACCAGGATTAACGCGATTTTGGACGACTGTCTCTTTCCCCTGGCGTAACAGCATCTCCAAAAGGCTAGTGGAGCCTGAACAATTCTGGTCCGAATAACTTTGATTGTAACTTGGACCCGGGTATATTTGCTGTTGTTCTGTCGGGTGCGAACTGCCGGGAAAGTTATTCTGTTCGTTAATAGGTGGCTGGTTAAGCCACAAGTTTGCGTCAGCGTCGGCGAAATGCACTGTGTTCGACATAGTCTTTGGATTATTAAAACAACACAAATATACCGATCAGGACTTTTCGTATGGCACTGATTGGAGCACTTAAGACAGGGCGACAGGTCTCATACACCACGGACACAACTGACCGTCACAATGTTTGTTAGAATGTAAGATATTTTATATATATATATATATACGCATTATCAAATGTTCACTAACGATCAACACGAAGCACTTTTAGTTGTATCAGGAAGTCAACTGGACGAGCAGGAACGAGGACACGTCCCTACCGTACTGGGTGTACCATCACTTTGTAAAAGCAACAGACACTGAGAGGTCGACGGCAAGCCGACTTCCAATGAAATGAAACGATCTTGTCCCTGTGACGATTTTAACCGTTTACTGTACACGGGGGTTCTACGTGTGCCAAAAAGGGGCTCCCCGACAAACTTTCACCGGTTTATTACCGTACCACGTGGACGCAGGCGTATCCGGGTGGAGGTGGAAGGGACAGGGCCAAACAACCCTCGTACCAAACGTTGCACCTCCGTGGCTACCGCAGGGGATCTCTGTTGCTTCGCCTCTATCAGCTGCCCTTTGATTCAAAGTTAAGGCCACCCCCGACGTACGTACTCGCTTTTCGATCTGTGCCACAATCCCCTCCCACTATTAACGCTATTCACACAAAACCCATATTGGCTCCCCTAGCACCCGACCTCGCACAATGTCTCTGCCATGTGTGCGCGTCCCTTGGCCAGCGCGCACTCAGTCCTCCTATCGTCATCGAGCAATCCCATCTCATGAGATACACTGAAAAAATTGAATAAACTGATAAGCCAGATTTGAACGGCTCTGTGAGGTTAAACACGAGCGAAAATCGCAAAAGGAAAGCACGACGGGTATGAGTTTGCCGATTTGTTTATTTTGATTTCATCTGACGGTTATGTGAACGGTTGACATAATTTAAGATTAGGACAGTTCTGTAACGACAACAATTTCGATTGTGTTGTTTTGCTTCGGAATATTAACACCGTTATGATATACAAACTCGGGGGAAAAAAAACCGCTACGGGTAACCGTTAAGCCAAGTCAAATCCTAAATTTTCTCTCGATTGGTAGAAATAAACAAACACGACTGTTAGAACGATCAGTAGTCGATCTTTAGCGAATTATTTTTTTCAATATTCTCATTGAACATTGTTGTCAATATAGAACGATCTATGGTTGACTTTGTATCACTTGTATTGTACGGTTATTACTGTACCATATATCTGTAAGTGTTTTAAAATAAATTTGTCGACACAAACATCATAACTTGTCTCATTGGTACAAAAACCAACTGGTTTAATCATCCTCTATAAATGTTTCAAGGATAGAGATTACACCAACAGATCTCACAAAGGACGTAACCTGACCTACAAACACTCACCACACTAAAGAAATGAATCAATCAAATTCGAAGATGGTATCCCACTGGAGGTAGCCATCCACATGCTATATTGCTATATCACTAAGCTATAATATTTTACCAAATGTCCTACTGGACAAATTGTAAAATGTAAATAAATAAATAATAATAAAAAAAAAGTCAGAGATCTTAGTCTTGTAAATTGTTAAGTTGAGCAGGTTTTGCAAAAGCCAAAGGTAGGATTATTGAGACAGGCAACGTTTTAACACATTTGTGATTAAATACGGCGAGGAATGTTTGTAGAATTTTGTATAGAACGAAAAAGCATCAGTACGTTTAGTTTCTAAAGCAAAGGAGAAGATAATTTTGCTAATTGAATTTTATAATCCTATTCTTGTCAAAAATACAATATCTGAATTATTCTGACTTTAACCTGTAGCCATGAAACGTATTATGAGATTCAGTAAAGTAAAAGAAAATACATGTTTAGCTTCTAAATCAAAGGAGAATTTAATTTTGTTAATTGAATTTTATAATCCTATCCTTGTCAAAAATACAATATCTGACTTATCCTGACTTTAACCTGTAGCCATGAAAGTTGCTATGAGATTCAGTAAAATAAAAGAAAATACACCTTTAGCTTCTAAATCAAAGGAGAAGGTAATTCTGCTAATTGAATTTTATAATCCTATCCTTGTCAAAAATACAATATCTGACTTATCCTGACTTTAACCTGTAGCCATGAAACGTACTATGAGATTCAGTAAAGTAAAAGAAAATACACGTTTAGCTTCTAAATCAAAGGAGAAGGTAATTTTGCTAATTGAATTTTATAATCATATCCTTATCAAAAATACAATATCTGACTTATCCTGACTTTAACCTGTAGCCATGAAAGTTGCTATGAGATTCAGTAAAATAAAAGAAAATACACCTTTAGCTTCTAAATCAAAGGAGAAGGTAATTTTGCTAATTGAATTTTATAATCATATCCTTATCAAAAATACAATATCTAATTTATCCTGACTTTAACCTGTAGTCTTTATTTTATGAAGTAAAATACAAGAGGTTGCTTTGGGTGATGTGATATTGGAAGAATGTGACTTGTAGGTTAGCTTAGATTTTTATTCAAATATCCATAGTTGGTCTTTGAACATTTTTGAAGGGAGTTTTGCAATATTTCCAGAGAAAGAAAGGAGGAGACCAGAAATAGATATTTCGAGCTGGTAAACAAAGAGGGTAGCAAAGCTAGACGCAAGCAGTCTTGCGAGTGACGTCTCTTTCTAGAAGCCTGACCGGCGACGATTAATCAACCCTGTTGAACCCTCTCTCTCTTTCTCTCTCTCTCTCTTTCTTTCCCTCTTCTCTTTACTGTTATATACACGTGCATTTAACACGTCTCTTCTGCCCCGTTCACCTTCTGTATTTTCATTAATCCCACTTTCGTTCCGGTGCATTTTCGACCAGGGAAACAAGCAAAGGAAAGGTCGAGAAAAAGCTGAAGTATTATGAAAGTAGGTTCAGCTACTTCCATTGAACGCATCGACCATATCGGAATCTCACCTCTGCCCTTCTTTCTGAAATTACGATCGAAGCTGTAAATTTAACATTTAGGTAAACGCTTAGTACTTTTCTTTGAATATTCTATTATTAATGAAATCCTTAGACCGAGAGCTATTCAACTCTGTCTTCAAAATTATATTCATTTCTGAGGAATTTTAAAAAACAACTTGTCAATTAGTGATATTATTATTGAAAATTCTCAACGCGAGAATTGATTGTAATTTTAATAAATAAATAAAAAGAAAAAAGAAATTAGTGATATTAATGAAATGACAAATTGCGAATTTTAGGTTATACAGCTCTTCTCCACAATTTGACGATTTCACGTCACGTAGAATAACTCGATATTTTATGAGATTTATTTTTTTAATTTCGTGTCTTTGTATCAAAATCACATAGAATGTAACGAAAGCGTAATAGGTAAACGATATGTAAAACCGAAAGCTCGTCCAAAATCGAAAGGCACGGACTAAATAATAATAAATCAAATAAATAAATAATATATCAAAATACAATATTACAATAATTGCAAAAGAGTTTATTAATACCAACATATTAATAAAACACAAAATACTTCTAACTTGTAAAATTTGACTAACAATATTAATTTCTTTTTATTTTATTTATTAAAATTACAATCAATTCTCGCGTTGAGAACAATATTAATTCAATTGTCTTAAAGTGTCCTTAAAGTGATATTCCATTGATATAGTTTAATTGAAACAATCACTGATGTACCCTGAATTACAAAATCTCGTTTGATTCGAGCACCTTGCTAAAACCAGGCTAAAACCGGGATTAAGTGAGATACAACAGCGCAGCAGACGCTAATGATCAGCTTATGGTTAAAGGTCCCGCTTCGAAACAATTATCGTCTAGCGAAGATAATAGACGACCATGCGAACAAACTATAAATAGTAAAGTAACCCCGAAAGAAAGTGATTGATGTTCCGTTCGACGTGGTGACCAAATCAACGGGGAATCCGGCCATCTGATCAGGATGGACACGCGTCCGCACGAGTACAAGCAGACCTTTTGTGTATATAGACACGTTTTCACGCACACTAGCACGCAAATGATGCTGGGAGTGCTCGGATCGTGGCTCGCGTGCCCGACAGAGAAATGGCTACGATGATAATAAATAATAATCCGCAAAGGACGATACTTGTGGGAAGGAACCGAGGGTCGAAAGAACGTTTCGCGAACCATAATTTTACCTACTGACTTAATTTTCCTCGTTCGCGTAACCTTTGCCATCAGGCTCGTCGTTAATGAAAGCTTGAGCGACGCGTGAGGGATTGAGAGATTTTAGATAAAAGAAAAACGATGTTCTCGTTCGGCGAGACGCCATGGAAATCTCGTTCGTTGGTCAAGTTGGCAATTCGAGGCAGGATATTCCATAGGAATTTTGAAATTGATAAAATAGAGAAGAATTCTGGATTCTATTGAAGAATTCCTGCATCGAATTGCATTTTCCATCTTTGTGTTACAAAATAATTACTTGAGGACTCTTGGAACGATGAAATAAATTATACGGATGATTTAAGATATATTGGGATGAAAATTAAAAAAGGAAGATTCTTAGGACTCAGAAATTATTTGACTTGAGCAATTATTTTGCAACACTAAAAATAAAAAGTGAAATTCTAAATAATCGTTAAAACTCGATTTAACTATATGCAGATGTTTGACCAGCGTAGTACTGACCCGCCTTAAAGTCCCTAACCCCAAGAGCAATTAAAACGTCAAAACTTTCAAATGATTTGTTGCGCCGTGTAAAATGTTCACAGAGAACGTCTACAGTGAAAGTACGACCTTGCAGCAAGTCGAGTGCGGAACAGATTTTCGGAAAAATTCGAAGTTAAAGGTGGCGAGTGAAAGTTTTATTGGTCATTGTCATGAAATTTTTAGAAAGGTAATGTTCGTTTCGGGTGAACGTCACGTCCCTTGGTATACCTGGCTGGCACAAAAACAACGGCAACAGCTGGCAATAATTCTGTTTATGGTGTTGCATCCGTGCGGGCGACACTAGCGACGTAAAAATGAAGACACCGTGGCCACTTCTGGCTCGTTCTTCTTCCTCTTCGACGACAACAGGGGTGGGGATAACGCGTGGGGAGGCGCGTGTCTTCGAGCTGCTCGGTTGTTAAGGGACGCTGCTATTTATGAAGCGGACTCATAAAATATAAAGACAG